TTTTAATAAAAAATAAAATTTGAACATTACATTGCAGTATAAAATTCTTAGTGATAACTTCTCACAGATTATACCAAAATCATCACCCATGTCACTGATAATTGCTAAATTATGGAATATCTTTTTTTAGTTTTCTATTGCTTCCAAAACAGATTACCACAAATTAGAGGTTTAAATGACATTCATATATTATCTCACCATTCTGTTGCTTATAATTCCAGGCATACTCAGCTGGATTCTCAATTCAATCTCATAAGATTCAAATCAAAATAGAAACTGGAAGAAAAGACTTGAAAACCACATATATGATAAGGCCCTGATATATAAAGAACTCAGATATCTCAATTGCTAATACAAAAACAAATAACTTGAAAATATCAGTCAAAAACCCATAGACCTTTCTCAAAAGACAGAGGGATGTGCAGCAGTTATATGAAAAGGTGGTCAACATCACTAATCACCAGAAAAATGCTTAAAGTCACAATGAACTATCATTTCATACCTGTTAGCAAAATGATTTATAAAAGATGAAAGAAGAAGGGTTGGTGATAAAGAAAATGTGGTACACATCCATAGTACAATACTATTGAGCCACAAAAGGAATGAAATCCTATCTATATGCAACAATTTAAGTGGAACTGAAAATGATTATGTTAAATGTAATAAGACTGGCACAGAAATACAAGTAGTCATGGTACTCATTTGTAGGATCTAAACATTGATCTCACAGGAAAAGAACTGAGAGTAGAATAGTGGTTACCAGTGGGTGGGGCAAACAGTGGGAAAGGAGAGATGCAGAAAGACTAATCATTGAGTACTGCGCTGCTGTTTGACAGGACAAAGAAGTTCCTGTGTGCATTTGCACAATAGAATATATTATCTGGATAGTGTATATCTTAAAAAATAGAAGAAAGAATTTTAAATATTTTTATCACAAATCATAAATATTTGAGAATGTAGATGCATATAACTTGATTGCACAATATACATGTGTTGAAATACAACATTGCACTCCATCAGTATGTATAATTTTTGTTTTTATATATCATTTAAGAATTAATTTAAACTTTAAAAAAGTTTGGGGCTGGGCATTTAGCTCAGTGGCACCATACCTGCCCCACAAGCACAAAATCCTGAGTGTGATTCCTGGTACAAAAGTTTTTGTGAGAATGTAGAGACAAGGAAATACATTATGATATAAATTGGTATAGCTAGTATGGAAAAGAGTATGAAAGTTCCTTAAAATTTAAAAATAGAACTACCATATGATCCATCAATAAGAACTTCTGGGTATACGTCCAAAGAAAATTAAATTAATATGTTAAAGAGTTTTTGTATGCCCATGTTAATTACAGCTTTAGTCAAAATTGTCAAGATAGAGAATTAAGCTAAATGTTCATTGGTGGATGAAATATTATATATATACATAATGGAATGTTATTCAGCTCTAAAATAGAAAAAAGTCCTTTTGATATAAAGGGAATAGATGTAACTACCAAACCTGGTAGATATCTGAAATGCAAGTTCCTGTTCTCTAAAATCAAACAGTGAATTCTAAGAACAACAGAGGTTAAGAATAGGAAAGAACTATTGACAGTAAGATAGCTTCTAAGAGAGTCAAAAGGGGGACCAGAAAGTGGGTTACTTGGGGACCCTGTTTCCCCAGGAAATTTTTATGGAGCAAAGCCATGAGGTGAGGTGGGTTCAAGGTGGGACAAAACTATAGTCAACTAGTAAGATTACAGGTACAGTCCCTTAGATAGTATTGGTCCAATGGGAAATCAAAAGGTGGACTTGACATGGGACAATGCTATGATCAACCAATAAGATTACAACAAGCATAGTTGCTTAGGTATTATTGTATAAATGGGGATCCAGTGGGGAAGGAAGCAAATCACATAGCAAGCGTGCAAGGAACAAACAAGGATTTTTGGATTTTTGGTAAGGGATGGGTCAGGGACCTTTCCTGGAAGGGATAGGTTAAGGATTTGATCCCCCACCCATTAGAATATAGGTTCCCCCCCATACCTATTTAGAATATCCATCACTGCTATTCATCCCTAGGGGAAGAATGAGTATTTTCTCTCTTTTTATAATGCTAACCAGTGAATGTGCCTCAATTGTTTTTCTATGCCAAGGGCCCAGCTTTGTCTAACTGCCTTATAATAATATCTAATTTAGCTATCTGCAATACTTTCATTTGTAACTAAAAGGATGAACCTAGAGGACATTATGCTAAGTAAAATAAACCAAACACCTGTATACAGATACTACATGGTATCACTTATATGTAGAATCTGAAAAAGCAGAACTCAAAAGAAGCAGAGTAGAATGGTAGTTGTCGCAGGGGCTGTGGTGACAAAGTGGAAATGGGGACCTCTCAGTCAAAGGTTACAAATTTTAGTTAGATGAGACAGGTTCCATTGTATAACATGACATATTAATAATAATACATATATGAAAATTGCTAAAAGAGTAATAACTTCTACATATCCTCACCCCCACACATACACACACATACAAAAGTCTATGTGAAGCGGTGAACATTTTAGTTAATTCTATTACGGTCATAAGTCACAATGTATGCATATATCAAAACACCATCTTATATAATATACATATATAAAAAGATTTTGTCAATTATAACTCAAATACCTGGGAAGAAAAGATGCCAACCTATCTGGACTCTCACCTAGATGATCTGGTAAAGAATACATTTCTAAGCTCATCCATATGATCGGCAGAATTCAACTTCATGAAGTTGTAGGACTGAGGTGTCTCTCTCTCTCTCTCTCTCTCATTAGTTTGTGTTTTAGCTAGGATAGTATCAGAGAGTGATCAGTCCTCCAACTGCCTAGAAATGGCGGGGAGGACTAAAAAAAGAAAGACAATAGGGACTTGCATAATTTCAAAGTACATGGTCGGCCGGGAGGTCAGTGCCTCAGAGTGGGCAAAGACAAAGACACTCTGAGCTAGCCATCATTTATTGGGTGCACACTATAATTGGAGGGAGCATCAGGTGACTCAGAGGACCATGGTAATCCTATGTTGATTGAGGATCTTATGCTGATGAAGATCTTATGTTGATGAGGGCAGAAAGGAGAGCATTCTTACAATAGTACTTCAGACAAGATAGCAGGCCAAAAAAAAAAAAAGAAAAGATAGCCTAATAAAGAAATTGTCCTTCCCCCAGTGGAACCTCTCTCGTTTTTATTATTTGGTTCTGGAAGAACTAGGATGTCTTCAGCTGATGTCCTCTTGCCCTTGAGTGACGCAGTATCATGGGACCATTGAGGCCTCAACTTGTGACCCAAGGCAAAATGGAGATATGTTTCTGGATGCCATAGCCAGCTCATGGGCAAGGTGACACTGAGCCTTAAGACAGCTAGAGTTATACTGTAATTATGAAATGATTTTTCCCCCAAAATTATGTAGCATGGTTCTCTACAAGATAGATATTTCTCAGCTTCTATTTTGAACTCCTGAATCTAGGTAACTACCCCAGAATGACTCCTATCATTGCCATTGTCCTAAACAAAACTTAATTTAAAAAATTAAAATAATACTCTTTCCAGTTTTATACCATTCAGAGTTATATTTGTAAGCAATGGTCCTTGTGCAATAATTCTATATATTATTAGTATGTTCAGATTACACACACGATAAGACAAGTTTGTCTTTCATACTCCCAACCAACACCAAATATATTGAACTGTAGTGTCATTGGAAAGTGCTATGTGAGTTACAATGTCTGTTGCAAAATAAACAAGCATTACCAAGAAAACATCTTTGATACAGTCATTTACTATTGTTCTGAAAATGGAACACATTGTTTTATTCTTGGTAACATAAAGTGCTGCTTTATTGGAAATATTTCTTCTCTTGGCTTTTTAACACAATACTTGAAGAATTTCTTGTAGCTCTAACTTAATTCTTTATACTTTACATAAATAAAATTTAAAGAACATTTATTACATTAGACACTACATATTTAGAAATAACATACTTTTGTTTTAGCAGTTTAAAAGCAAATTTCATATGACACATTTGTAAAAGAGTAGTAGAAATTCTTTGTTTTCTTATTTCTTTGGAATCATACTGTCATTGCTTGGTTTATTATTATTGCTACATTCCAAAGTCTTTGGCTTTTCCTGTTAAAAAGTACAGTGAAGCTTGTTTTATCATGAATAAATTATAACAAATTTATGATCAAATTTTTGCTTCGCTAGCTTAGGCATGTGAAAGGAAAAACTAGACGATCTAAATTAGAATAATTATAAAAAAGCATGTTACATTATAAAATACATGTTACATGTAAACATTAAATGTTTACATTTTTCTGATTTAATATACTTTAAGTTGGAGGTGAAAAACTAATCTTAAACATCATAAAATATAAGGAGGCCCTACTGCAATGCTATAATAGTAATAATAATAACTTCTTTACTGATAAATTCAAATTTAGGACTTTACTGAGAATTTATAAAGGTTATTTTTAGAACAGGGTTTAATTTTATTCTGAAAGTTGATGACATTTTAGATTTAATATTTTGATTTTGGGAGAGCAGAATCACTGTAAGTCTTGTTTTCTTTATTTACACCTGAGTGATTAATTCCAGTACCATGTTGGAGGGCCAGGGGTTTAGCTCAGTGACACTGGCAAGGTCCCGAGTTTGATCCTCAGTACCAAAAAACAAAAAAAGAGAGAGAGAGACACCCCAGTATTATGTTGGAAGCATTTTTGAAGGCATTCATTTTTTTCTTCTTAAAAATTTGAGATTATTTTGCTACTGTTTCTATTACTCCAAGAGCAATCCTAAACAATAAAATACATCAAGGGGTGCAAATGGTCTCTTCTTCATAATGATGATACTATTCAAGCAGTTGTTTACAAACTAGTGTCAATTATACATTGTTTCCAGTATTACCAAGATGAGCAAGAAAGGGAGAGTATGCATTTAGAAATGTTTACAGCAATGTGGCATTTTCTCCCCTTCCAGTCTAGGCGGTTCTCTTCATCAGCTTATCAAGTAATTAGCATGTCAAGCAGAAGGTACAAATTATCTACTACTATTATCAGCAAATCCAAAGATCTTTGAGGAACACCTTCAGTGATATAAGATAATTACTCTGTAAGTTCTTGAAAGCTTAAAAATATGACTAATCGTAGTGAACCTTATAAAATATTTTAGGAAACAGCTTATGGTTCTAAGTCCATGTGAATAATATAACTCACACAAAGACCACTTTGCCTTTAATTTCTCTTCAATAGATTTTTCTCTCTGTAGCTTTTCCTTTCAATTCATTTGACATTAAATGTTTTAAAGTAATTTAAGAGCATATCTTATTCATATTTCTATTTCTAAACTGCATTTCTGAGTATGAAATGTGCAGCATTTTGTAAATGGTGAGCTTGATCTTGAAGACATTTTAGTTACTTTGCTTAAACATCTTGTTTGTTTTATATGACAATATTTCTAAAATTTGCAACATTTATTACTAGATTTATCAAATTAACTCTGCATATATTTGTTTTTTGATTATTGTTCTTTTAGGCTGTCTGTGTGAAATACATCTTGTCATGCATTGTTGATAGGAGTTTGTGATTATGTTCCTGAATGCTTCTTAAGGTGGAAATGTCCAATGTAGTGATGTTAGCTATTAAAGAAAACATGCCACTGAAAAGATTAATCATGCCTGGGAAGAACTTATATTTTACATTAAATTTAGTCCCCTCTGAATGAGAGTCCTCCCTGTGTGTAGCTTAGCACATACCCTAATTTAGGATATGTTTGGATTACATTCTTGTGCATGTGAATTATTAGAAACAGACCTTGCTATATATTATTACCAATTGTTAATGACACTTTGCATTTATAATCCATTTCCTGATGGATATTTTACCAGAGCCCCTTAGATCTGCTTTCCAACCTTTTCTACTTTGCCCTATGCCTTCCGCTTCTAGCTTGGTTTAGCTAATGGGATGGATAGGCAGCTGATAAACCAGAGTGTGTGTGGAAAGTGAGATCTTCTTATTCTCCAGTTCCCTCAGATTGGTTGTATCTCTCAAATCAATAGTGAAGCATTTAATTTTATTTTTGTAGGAAAAAGGTTTAATTGGAAAGTTAGAAGAAAACTAGGAAAGGACTCCAGGTTAGGGTCAGACTAGCCCAGCTGCAAAGGCCCAAAACCAGCTTTTTATTTCTTTATTAAGACATGTCTGTAGTACATAATGTTTACATTCCCTGTGGGGAGTTGGTACATGTATGTAAGACATCCTGTTTCTTTTTAATGCCCCTCCCCTCCTCTCACTTCCCCTTCTCTTCCTTTGGTCACCCCATTTGGGTGTATCTTGTTTCCTGACAAAATCTGCTCTGATATAAATCATGATTTTAAAATTTAGTTTTATTAAAAATGGAATACAAAATTATTAAGTATTAACACGACTACCTATTTCATTACTTGATTTTGTTAAATACTCCACTAACCACAAACAGCATGTTCTAGTTTTGGTTATATATTCATAAGATATGCTCAGATATTCTTCAAAAGGAAAAGAAATCTGGATATGAGGGCAAGCTGAGACGACATAATCTGTATGACAGAAAGGGAAGAGCCATAAGCAGAAATAGGAAGTTACCTTAAAATACAGAAGACATTTTGGTCTAATAATGACTGCAAGCATTTATATAAAGTTTCCTATATGCCAAGCTGTATTCTAACCAATTGACATATACTGAACTATTTATTTCTCACAGGAACTCTATAAGAAGACATTATCCCCATTTTACAAGTAAGGAAACAGGCTCAAAGCACGTAAGTAGATCTGTTAGTCTTGTATAATTTATCCTCCTAGCTATTATGCTGTTCTTACAATGGTTTTACTAATAAAACTGGTAAATTATAATAAAGACTAGATACTATGCGACGAATATATCTATAATAGTAACATAATAGAGAACATATGGGTTTTAGCAGCAAGTAAGGCTTGATTCCTGGGTATGAGTTTAAATTTAAATTGTTTCCTAATAAGCTGTTCTTAATCCTGATTTTCATTCTTGCTCCCTTTTCCACAAATCATATATTTGTATTATATGTATTATTTAGTACTGTGAATGAATTTTTATTCTAAAATAAATTTTATATTTTTATTCAGGTTTATGATCTGTAAATATGCCTGTTAACAAATCATCTGCAATTAATAAGTTTGGAGGAATATCTTCTCCTTATCGTGAGGAACTCTTGAAATTTAATTTTCAGAACTCAAGTAAAAATAAGAGTCATAAATCAAGGTAAATAAAATTTGTATTATCAAAGTAGGGAATCCATGTGCATTATAGAGAATTTTGAAAGTTCAGAAACTAAAAAAAAAAATAAAAAATGGGTGATGGAAGGAGAAGGGGGACTATTAGAAAAGAGGAGGGAATTGAGGTGAGGAGTAGAGAGAAGAAGGGTAATGAAAATGATCAAAGTATGTTGTATGCACGTATGAATATGCCAAAATGAAATCCACTATTCTGCATAACTAATATGCACTAATTTTTAAAGTGCGAAAGAAAATTGTGAAAAGAAAAAATAAATCATGCTCTCTAACCAAGGGTAAAAATGTTCAAATGTCCTATATTTTCAATAGCTTCATTCATGATGTTTCATCTGTTTTCCAAAACTGTGGATTATGTAATTTCTATATAATTGTATATAGAAATTTATATAATTTTCTTTCCATTTGAAATAAGCATTTTCTATACTCATATAAATTTTAATTTACAGAAATACACAAAATGCATAAGATAAAGTTTTTAATAACTGCTCTAGTATGAAGAATTTTAATTATTTCTTAGTCCTTTCCTATTTTAAATTTAGCCACAACAGCATGTTTTTATATATTTGAAATCATTTTCTTGGAGTAAATTTTCTAAAATGAATGCAAGTGCGACTTCAAAAAACTTTCTTGAAAACTTTACAACTGCAGGGGGTATTTTCTCTAGTTGTTTTGTGTTATATCCTTGACCTAACACCATAACAACCTATATAAATAAAGGAGCGTTTGAGGTTTGAGAAGTTGTTACTCATCCAGACCACTACAGTGAGGAAAGTAGAATTCATAATGTATCATCCACAAAGACTGAGCAGTTTTGCTGTAATTTATATAGCATATGTAAAGTATTTAATTTTATACTGAAGAAATAAAAAAATGGTCAGTACATATAAATGGTTTGAAAGAGTTATATCTTATATTCTTGTAACTCACTTAGTTTTCTTCAAATCTGCTATGTCAACTTAAGATCTTTGCTTACCCCCAGATGCATCTACACATGTTGTGGGATAAATGTGTTAGTTTTGGAATATGTGCTCATAATTGAAAAGACTGCAGCCTTAGAAAGTTCATTTCTGCTCATTCTCTTTATTTCACTTTTTCTTATGTTTTGTCATTACTAATTTGCCTCTGGGGAAATATTTCTGCATATTTTTGAGATCTAGGAGAAATATGTCACCCTCTAGAGAATGTCAGCATTTATTTTTCTGTAGGAACCTGTAAATGCTTCCAGTAGTGAACAACAGAAACTAAATTGATTGCCTGAGTTTTCTTGACCAACAGTCTGTGTGTGTCTGGAGGTTAAATCTTGAGATCATAATGTTAACTGAAGTAACTCAAACACACAAGCTTAAATATCACATGGCTTCTCTTAAATGAAAAACTCAATACATGTAGAAAGTACAAAATAAAAGACAGATAATAGTAAAAAAGAGAAAATAAAATAAAGGTAATGTAATTCATTATGGACAATGTATCTAAAAGCGTACCTTGATTTAGTTAGATTTTCTTACTTGTTTTATATGTTCTTTGGTCTATTAGTCTGGTTTTCAGTCTGTATATATGATAATTAACTTTATAAAGTCCTGGAAGATAAATAAGGGAATCCGATGCTGGAAAAATAAAAGGGGGTAGAGGGAGGGGGGGAAAGGAAGGGTATTAAAATGTGTTATATATATGTATCAATTCTTTAGAGTGAATCTAATCATTATGTATTGCAAACATGTAATAATAAAAGTAAAAAAAAAACTATATTAGGGTCATTCTCAGCAACAGACCCCTGTTTTTATTAAGCATGAAAATAGGGTTCTATCTAGCTTCTTGGGGATAGGGAGAGGGGAGTGTGCTCAGTTCTGATTCTCTTTACCTTGGATATTTCATCAGACAATATAGAGATATTATACTGTAAGTTTCCCATACCTTGACTATCCTGGGCTCTTTCTACCACATAGTCATATAGAAAACACACTTGCTCTTTTTCTGTGAACCTTTTCATCAAGAGAAACCAGATGTTAGACGTGAATCAGGGTTCTATGTGCATTAGGAATATTGCTTTGATTTCTGTTATCTGTATCATGAATATTTTCCTAAGCATCATATTCAATGTCCTTCACTTGTTCTTCCTCATGGGAAAATGAGTTTTTGCAGTTTAAACCTAGGGCTTTATGCAGATTCACTGAATTATGCACTGAAGTCTACACACTTCTGGGGCAAAGAAAAAAATCATAAAAATTTACAATGAATTACTGGTTCAGAGCATATTATTTTGTGATAATTTCTTTGATAACTAAGATTATTATTATATAAGGTTTCCTGTCTTTTTGCTTCTTTATCTCAGAGATGAAAGAGGCAAAAGTTTTGAAGACTCACATTAAGTATACACATTTATTTTAACTGGCTAAAAAAATGAAATGGAATATGAAACATTAGGAAAATTTAGTGAAACAGTTAGATCCTTTTATACCTTTTTTTCACCAAAATTTCTTCAGTATTTTTTATATCTGGGAGAATGTAGTTTTTATAGCTTCCTGAAATGTTAATAAGCCTGAAATTTTTCCTTTTTATTAATGTTCTTGACATTTTTATATATGTAAAATATTCTTTACAAATACATGCTCTAAATATTTAAAAATATTCTATATATCCATGTAATATATTATATATATTTTTATATACATATTTATAATACAATTTGTATACACATTTATAATACAAATGGATTTTAAATTTGTGCTGCCAGTACCAAGAAAAAAACTTTTCTAGACTTACATTCTGGCCATTTGTCTGCTTGATGAGTAGTCTTTGTCTTTTTTTAATTTGAATTATTATAAGCCTTTAAATGAAATTTAAATGATTAGGAACTTGTAATTGGCCAGTTCATTTCAGCTTGAGATATCTACACTTGTGACATTTGGTGTTGGTTACAGAAGACATAGCCACAAAAAGAGCATTTTAGGAACTGGATAACCATACAGAGCTTGAAGACTTTCAATACATTGCAGTGTTATTTCCTTTAGGATTTATTGTTCCAAATGTGAGATGAGCAACTACTCATGTGATTGTGTGTACACAGTAAGTAGTCTTGCAAGTGCTTGGAAAGCGCAGTCCTCATATATGCTGGTTTATAGCAATTCTGAATCTTGGACCACATCTTGACACAATAATTAAGATAATAATACTTTACTCAGAATACACAAGATCAATGGAGTGAACTAAAGAAGAAGTTAAAATTTGGCAAGAAACTTTGGTGCATGACCAATCTTATCACTAAATCACAACTTGCAAATTTGCAACAAAGAGACATAGAAGATGTGGCTGAATGAGGGGCATATTCTCTTCTTTCTTGTGTCTGATACATAGTCAACCATTAAAGAACACTTTGCTTAGCTTTTCTTGCTGCTGGATGTGGTCATAGACATAAATTGGTCAGTTATGTGTAGCAGAAGTGTTGTCCATGAGTGGCATTTTGTGCTCTTTTAAGAGAAGTAATATATCACCTTGTTCTTCCCTCTACCACTTGCTTTAAGTTTGCAATGGAAATGTGATTGCATCAGTTACAGCAATGAGATTCATTTTCTAGAACAAAGCCTGCACAAAAAAGCTGTGCTCCACAGCTTTGGTTGCCATGTCAGCTTTATTCTCTTGCCAGATGATTTATGGGGCAACTGAACAGGATTAGATTAGTTTTGGGATTTTGATCTAGTTAGGATAGTAGAGAAAGTTTGGTTGTGATGACCATTATCTAGGGACTTACATGCTCAAATTGAATTCTGGAACTGGCTGATACTTATGGTTTTCTAGCAGAAGTCCATTATTATGGAAAGAAAACAAACATTGCCAAAGTTCTACTCCATTTCCTACTTGAAATATTGTTATGCTTACATTACTGATGAGCTCTTTGAAGGAGTGTCCTTGACTTCATGGAATTTTCCTTTATGGCATCAGGGAAAGATTAGCACAAAAATGCACATTCATTTTAAGGCATTTTTAATTTTATTTAATGCACATGTAATAATTATACATATGAATGGAATACAGCGTGATAAATTCATACATATATACAATGCATAATGTTCCAATCAGAATAATAAGCATTTCTTTGTGGGGGAAACCCCTGAACTTCTCTTTTCTAGTTGTTTTGAGATATATAATAAAATATTGTAAACTGTAGTTACTTTAACTGTGCTATAGACAGTAAAACTTATTTCTCCTCTCTGTATTTTGGTACCATTGTCCAACCTTTGCTTGTCTCTCAAACTCCCCTCCCCTTTCTAGACTATAATGACCACTATTTTCTTCTCTACTGCTGTAAGATTAGCTATTTTAGCTTCCACATATGAGTGAGAACATGTGGTATTTGTCTTTCTGTGCCTGGCTTATTTCACTTAATATAATGTACTCTAATTCTATCTATGTAGTGAGAAGGCTGAATCATATGGAACTTCTAATTTTAGGTTGTTTTTTTTTCAGGAAATTACAGTTTCCCACAACAGCTGTGCTAGTTTACACTCCCCCATGGTTTATAAGAATTCCTCTTTTCTCACATCTCTGCCAGCATTTGTTTTTTTTTGTTTTTGTCTTTAAAATATAATCATTCTTACAGGGGTAAGATAAATATCATTTTGGTTTTAATTTGCATTTCTCTGACAGTATGCATTTTTTATATGCTTGTCCATTTGTGTGTCTTCTTTTGAGAAATGTATATTCTTATCAATTGCCCATTTTTAAGCTGTATTGTTTTTTGTTATTTGGGTTATTATATATTCTTGATATTAATTCTTCATTGAATAGTTTGTAAATGTTCTATCCTTTTCTGCTGATGTCTCCACTTTTGGTTGTTTTCATTGTAATGCAGAAAATTATGAGTTTGATATAATGTATTTGTTTATTTCTTTTGTTGTCTGTGCTTCTGCAATCTTTTTTTTTTTTTTTTTTTTTTGGTACCAGGGATTGAACTCGGGTCCTTGCGCTTGCTAG